CCAATGCCAGCACCTGGGGGCGTTGGGAAGAGGGGTGTACCAGGGCCACAGAGAAGGGACAAGCTCAGGATGGCCCTGGGGGGTGACCAGGTCCCCCTTACTGGGCACAGGGACCGGGCAGCTCTCTGCCCTCTGCACGATGCCCCCGTGCCAGGGTCCCCCCGAGTCACTGTGACAGCATCAGCTCCTGCCCGCAGCCCCGGCTCCAGGGGAAACGTGTCCTGGCCCAGACACCCAGGGGACACCGGGGGTCCCTGGGGGCTGCCCCGGGCCCACCTTGCCCAGACCCCCCCAGCACTCACCAGCTTTTGCAGCAGCCTTGAGCGCCGCGGCCGAGGCGGCTCCGGGGAACGCAGCCCCGGGGAAGCCAGCTCCGGGGAACAGACCCGCACCTGTGGGGAGAACAACCGGCATCAGCATCCCTAAAAACCCCTGGAGCCCGGCTGTCCTGCCCCGGCGGTGGGCACGGCGGTGCTGAGCGGGGGGGGCTGCGTGGCAGTGCCAGGGCTGGCGGTGTTAGCGGGCACTGCCCTGTCCATCCCCCGAACTGCTGCTCCCATCCACGTCCCACCTGGCACACACAACACCTGCCAGCCCTGGAGCTCCTGGCTGACACCCCTGGAGCTCCTGGCTGACACCCCTGGAGCTCCTGGCTGACACCCCTGGAGCTCCTGGCTGACCCCTGCATCACTGCCCCTCTGCTGCTGGCCCTGCAGGGACCCCAGGGGCCTCCTGTCCTGCAGGGTCACCCCCCTGTGGGAGATGTCATCCTGCCTGCTGGGTGTCTGCGTCCCTCTGGGAAGGGCACCCAGCCCAGGTGGGAGCCGCCCAGCACACTCTGGAGAGCTGTGGAGATGGGGACGAGCGCTGTGCTGTCCCCAGGGTGGCTCTCTGGGGACATCGCCTGGAGCAGGGGGGACAGTGGTCAGTGCTCACCTGGCTGCAGGCCAAGGGGGCCGAGTCCCCCAAGTCCTCCGAGGCCTGGAAAGAGAAGCGGGGTGAGGGGGGGGTGGCCAGGCCCGGAGGGCAGAGGAGCCCCTGTGGCACCGTGGGGACGGGAGAACAGCCCAGGGACGGCCACAGGGACGGGTGACAAATGTCCTTGCCAGCACTTGGGTCCTCCCTCCTGTCCCCCGTGCCTCACACACCTCCCACCCTGCCGGGCCACACGGGGATGGGAGCAGAATGTTTATGGCTGAGGAATGAGTCCCTCGCTCTCTGGCCAGCGCTGCCTTCCAACATCTGGGGCTCATCAGCCCTCGCTCCCTCCAGGCGCAAATTCCAGTGCTGCTGGCTCTGGGCGCGGACACTGCTCTGGCTGGGCCGCCCCGCGTTTGGTTTTAATTATGCCGAAATAAAGGGCCTTGTTTTTCTTTCCACGAGCTGAAATCTGAGCAAACGGAGGCTGCCGGCCCCAGCTCGGGCTGCGGCTCCCACTGCGGCTCAGGGGGCCGGAGGTGTGGGGTGTCCCTGCCCCGGGCACGGCGGGACCCCAGCACCTCTCCATGGGGATCAGCAGGGCAGAGGGTGCCAGGACAAGGGACAGGGCTTTGAACCAAAAGAGGAGAGATTTAGACTCAATGTTAGGAGGAAATTCTCTGCTCTGGAGGTGGGCAGGCCCTGGCACAGGGTGTCCAGAGCAGCTGGGGCTGCCCCTGGATCCCTGGCAGTGCCCTTGAGGCTGGACAGGGCTGGGAGCAGCAGTGGGAGGTGTCCCTGCCATGGCAGGGGGTGGAACTGGAGGAGTTTTAAGGTCCCTTCCCGCTCAGGCCGTTCTGTGATTCCATCATTTCTCTTGGCCCCAGAAGAGGCACATTCAGTCCCTGCTGCCCCAGGCTCGGTGCCCTCCAGCTGTGCCTTCTCCAGCTGTGCATCCTCCTGCCAGCATCCTCCCTCTCCCCCGCTGCTGTCCCCTCTCCCCAGCGCTCCCGGGCCAGGCAAAGCCCAGCGTGGGCTGCAGGAGCCTCTGCAAAAGCTGCTCGGCCCCGATGGCAGGCAGCCGGAGGCGCTGCCAGCTCCCCAGCGGGACACTGGCTCCCGGCTTTGCATCTCCTCCAGCAGCTCGGGCACAGCTTTACAGGCAGCAAGAACCCCCAAAGGCTGGTTTGGGGCGACTGGGGGTGGAGGACAGCGCCGAAGCGGGGCAGGGGAGGGGGTCCTGTGGAGGCTGTGGCAGGATTAGTGTGGCAGGGCAGCGCTGGGGGTGCCTTGGCCAGCGGGGGAGCAGCCTGAGGGCAGCAGGGGCTGGAAAATGTCCCGGCCACTGGCGTGCTTGGAGGTGGTGAGAGCCAGGAAAAGCTCTTACCTGGTTTGGGAGGTTTTCCTGCAGCCCCGAGTCCTAGGGGAGAGGAGAGGGGTCAGAGCCATCCTCCCTCTGAGCATCCCCGGGCAGGGGGACACGTGGGACAGGGCCAGCCTGGTGGCAGCCCCCCTGCCCAAACAAGGCAGATCTGCTGGGCATCCTGCCCCTCTCCCCAGCCCAGCACAGCCTGGCAGGGGTTCCCAGCACTCACCTGCTCCCAAACCTCCAACTCCAGCACCTGTGAGCAAGGGCACAGTGTGAGCACTGCTCCCGGGGGCACCCAGCACCCACCCAGGCTCCCGGGGTCCCTGCGGAGGCTCACACGGGTCTCAGAGGACGGGAACCCCCCTAGGATGTCCCCAGGATTTTGGCTGAAGCTCTGGGGACAGGCTGTGACCTCTGAGCACCTCCTGTGGCCAGGGCTGGGTAAGCCTGGCACTGGCACCAGCACCCAGTGGTGTCCCCACACCGTGGGGCTGAGTCCATGCTCAGCAGCCGGACAGGGTGTCCCCATGTCACCTGATCCTGGCTGGCAGGTCCCCAGCCTTCCCTGGTGCTTCAAAGGAACCCCCAGACACCTGCCCATCCTTGCAGACAGGGTGATGCCCCCTTACCTGGGAAAAAGCCTCCTCCTGGGACTCCCCCTCCCGGGATAGCACCAGGAACCCCTGCAAGAGAAGAGACCCTCGTTAAATCCCCCAGAGGCAGGGGCAGGGCGTTCCTCCTGCTGCTCCCTGCAGAGGAGCTGGGATGTGGAGCAGGTTCCTGCCTTTCCTTGCATTCCTGCTTGCCCAGGGGGACAGGGGGACAGGGGGACAGGGCTCAGAGGTGCCCCAGCTGGCACCCAGGCGTGGCAGCTCAGAGGAGGAGTCAGCAGGACCTGGCCCCGCCTGGGAAGGAGGGAGGGACATGGGGCTGGCTCCTGTCCAGCTCTGCTTCCCGGCTCCTGCCCCATCCCACAGCCAGGGCTGCTCCATCAGCCCCAGCTGCACCGGGGGTGGCTCCGGGCACGGCCACCACTGAGGGGCTGTCCCTGTCCATCCCCAGCCATCCTGGTGCCCCACATTGGGTGCCAGATGTCTCTGATGGACACGATGCACTGAGGGTTCTCCACCTGACACACAGCTGAAGAATAGCTTTCATTTCAGGATTTTCTCAGCCCTTATAAAGATCCTCTGACCAGGTTATCCTGACTGGTAGAAGGAACAAGACCCCCTTTGGTCCCATTGGTGGGACCAGAGAAAACACACCAAGAACGTGTGTCCAGTATTGTTTTGAGAAATATTATCTATTTACAACGACACAATCCTGGAGAGAAAACTGTTCCCAGGAACTTTTCCCCTGGGAACAGATGAGCCCCTGAGAGGCTGAAATTGTCTCAGGGTCAGAGAATCGTGTCCACAGTCCCTTCCACCTTGGGCACCTGCAGGGACTGTCCCCACCCCGGAGGGGGTGCTCAGCCCCCATCACACCCACCAGCCTCAGTGCCCCAAAAGCAGGCAAGGTCCTGGTGCTGGGGTGACAGTGGGGACCCAGACTGACCTCCCCTACCCCTCTGTCACCTGTGCCAGTGCTGCTGGATGGAGACTCCCAGGGAAGCTGGCACAAGGATTTCTCCCTGCAGCGTGGGCAGCACAGAAATGTCCAGGTGTCACCTGCCCACAGCCACAGCTGCCAAACTCAGCCCTTTATCATCATCACCACCCTCCTGGGGCACTGGGGGTCCTGCCAGGGGGGTCCCTCTGTGGTGACACTGTCACTGCCCCCTCCCAAGGCACCATCCCAGAGACCCAGCTCTGGACACATTTGGGAGGGTTGCAGAGGCTGAGCTGTTCTACCTGCCTTGCCCAGGTCGGGGAGGGCAGCAAGGCCTGGCAGGAGGAGGGATGGCCTGGAGGCAATGGGGTGGGTGACTGGGTGCTGGTGCCAAATGGCTTTGTGGGGACAAACCTTTCCCTCCAGAGCCCTTCCTGACCAGCTCTGCTGCCAGGCACAGCTGGACCCGCACTGCCCTGGATCCTCACAAGCTGCTCCCCCAGAGCCCAGCTCAGGGCTGTTCCCTGCTGCAGGCACTGCCAGGGGCTCTCTCCAGATCCCCCAACATCTCCAGTCCCTCCCTCTGTACAGCACGGGTGTTGGTGACAGCCCACACACTGGTGGCAGCCTGACCACACTGGGCTCTGGCCATGGCTCTCTGGCCACCTCTATCCTTGCCCAGGGCCAGCAGCCCCCAGCTCACTTTGGGGTCTGTGTGCTCCAATTTGTCCTCTCCACCCATTCCCTTGGCACGTCAGGGAAGGGGAGACTGAGTCAGCAGCTTCCCAGTGCTGAGGGAGCTCTGTGCTGCCTCTGCTCTGAGCCTGCCAGGACCCTGGGAAGGGGATTTTCCTGGGCTCCCAGCCTGTCTCCTGGGCTGGGCTGGCTGTGAGCCTACATCCCACCCCAGGGATGGCTCCTCAATCCGGGGGCCAGGGAATTTGCAGCCACTTGTGCAGCCCCAGCTGTGTCAGGGTGTGAGCCACGGAGGTGCTCACGATCTGTGTGGAGTCCCCTTGTTTATGGGACTGGGACATTCTCTCCCCACAGCTCCATCCACAGGTGTGGATATCCATGCTGCTCCGCTGCCAGAGCTGCTTCCGATCCCCTTTGGATCAGCTGCACCATTTCTATCTGCACCACCTCCTGCAGCTCCCTTCACAAGCCAGAAATGCACAGGATTTCTCTATTCCATAGGTTTTGAAACCGAGACCGGGATGGAGAATCCACCACAGGACACCCTGATGAATCCCCCCTCTGTGCACCCGTGGGCACCCGCTCCCGGAGGAGCCCCGCTGTGAAACCACCACCACTTCCCCTCTTCCCTCCTTGCGCTGTTTTCTTTTCCTTGGGAGAAAGTTATGGAAACATTCAGTCTCCAAGCGACTTTGAAGCTGTGATGCGTCCCGGGCCGAGCTCACTGGTAGCAGCTCGGGGGGAGCGGGGGGGCTGCTGCTGGGGCCTGGCTCCTCTCCAGCCCCCCTGAAGCTCCAGCTTTCATCTCTGAGCACTGGAGGACGAGCTGCACCCTGCCAGTGGTGAGGGGAGGGAGCAGCCCCGGCAGGCCGGGCTCCAGCTGGGAAGGGGAGATGCCATCCCAGCCTCACCTGGGGACCCCGGCTGTCCTCGGAGGGTCCCCACAGCCCCAGGCTGGGTGCCAGCACACCCAGTGCCTGCTGAGCACTCACCCAAGCTGCTCCCGAGAGCCTGCAAGGCTGGGACCTCCCTGCCATCCCCCTTGTCCCTCCTGGGGGTGTCACTGCCAGGGGATCCCCTGTGCTCCACACGGGAAGCACTGAGGGATGGAGGATGGATGGATGGATGGATGGATGGATGGATGGATGGATGGATGATGGATGGATGGATGGATGATGGATGGATGATGGATGGATGGATGGATGGATGGATGGATGGATGGATGGATGGATGGATGATGGATGATGGATGGATGGATGGATGGATGATGGATGGATGGATGGATGGATGGATGGATGGATGGATGATGGATGGATGGATGGATGGATGGATGATGGATGGATGGATGGAAGCACTGAGGGATGGATGCCCTGCTCCAGGTGCTGGGATAGGCGGCACTCGGCACGTTCAGGGAATCACGGCACTTTCCCCCTGCAGTGTCCTGTGTCCTGCTGTGCAGGTCCCCACAGTGCCAGCACAGCTCTGCTCCCCAGGACTGATCCCCTGGAACTGATCCCCACCTGCTGCTGGGGCTGTCATCAGTGCTGCCAGCTCAGCCCCTTGCTCTGAGGTGACAGTCTGGGTATGAGCCCCTCAGCCCTGGAATATCTCAGGGTTCCCTCTCCTGCCAGGCTGATTTGGAGCTGCAGTGGCAGCCGGTGCTGGAGGACACGGCCCTGACCGTGTCCAGCCCCTGGGATCCCCTCTCAGCATTGTCACCGTGCCTCTGTGCCAGCTCTGTTCCTGAGAGCTGCTGCACCAGGAGCAGGGCTGACACACCAGGCTGCAGAGACACTGCCCAGCCATGGGAGAGCCTTCTCCTGTGTCCCACCAGCACTGGGACCATCTCCAGTCAGGTCACCTCCTCTGGGAGCTGCACCCCTGGGGACTGAGCCGGGGTCTGAAGTGGGGTCAGCTGAACTGAACTGCTCGGGAACTGCAGCAGGGTCTCGCCTGGGCTCCAAAGTCCTCCAGAGACTGTCCCAGCTGGCCACAGCTCGCAGGGTCAGAGCAAAGGCAGCCTGGATCAGCAAGCCACATCTCCCTCACTGCCAGGGATGGACAGTGGCCGGGACTGAGCACATCGCAGCCAGCACCCTGAGCAGGATCAGGCACCGACAATCCGAGCAGCTCCCAGGCAGCTCCCGGCTCTGGGGTCCCACTGCCCGCACAGCCAGCCCCGGCTCGGGGTCCCGTGAGCTGCAGATGGAGCTGCTGAGGGCTCTGTCCTTGGGGACAGGTGGCCCAGACGGTGCCCACCCAGCCCTCCACGGTGTCCGTCCCCCTCTCGTCCTCTGCTCCTCAATCCTCTCTGTCCGACAAGCCCCGGCACGGACCCTGTGGCCGATGGTGGCTGTGCCCATCACACGCTCTCCCTGGCACAGCCCCCGGCTCTCCGGAGGTGACTGTCCCTCCCTGGCGGTGCTGTCGCCTCCTCAGAGCCCTCTGCCCGGTTTGGGGGTGAATCTGTGCCTGGGTGGGAGCTCAGCCCGCAGTGCGACCCCGAGACAGGGCCGGTCCCCCAGCGGCTGCGCTGGCCGGGGGTGACACAGCCGGGACCCAGAGCCCTGCGCTGGCTGTCCCCTCCCGGCCCGGGGT